TCAGACAGAATAATTTATTTCTCCAGTTCATCTGATTACACTTTGTGGAGTTCCATAGTCTTTACTCTGAGCTCTATCTCCTTCTATGAAATTTGTCTTCATTTCAGGAGTAAATTGCTCTTTCTGGGACTCCAATCTACCTTCACTTCAATTTCCAGTAGCATAAACTACTCTGTCCCTTTCTTGTTTACAGTGCCTGGATTCTTCTGTTTCCTGCAGCATTTTATCTTGACAAGAGTCACTTTAAGATATAGCTGTTACTAACACTCTGTTTCTTAAAGGAGAGATGAAAAATCATACGAAGACCAAGCACCCTTTCTGTCCATTTTTACTTGCCACTGGGAGGGGAGATGAAAGTGTCTGTGTGAAGCTCCCCAGCCTTTCTTCCCCAATGTGAGCTATAAATCACAGGTGCAAATTAAACCAATATAAGACAGTTTTAAACTGATGCATAGCATTGCACTGGTTTAACAAAATCGGTTTAACATCTCACATGGTGAAACGTCTGTGTTTAGACAAGCCCTGAGTGAAACATACTCAGTCTGGTTTAAATTCCCTTTTCAGCAAGGAATGCAAACAACATGCAACTTGATTATTCTCATACCCATCTAACCTCCTAATCTGGAAGAATTGGGACAAACAATCTCAGGACATCAGAAGCATGACAGTGAAGTTGACACTGAAAAGAAGAGAGCAAGGGTCTCTCATGCTTTTCCCCAAGGGACTGGCTTGGGAACTGGGGGCAGAGGTGTTGCACTTTGATTTTGCACATCTGGCCAATGTGTTGGGTGCGGGAGAGAGCACAGGTGCTTCTCCCCATATCAGATGTTTGAAGCATCACTAGCAGCCTGTCTTTGCTCTTCAGCACATGCTGTCTCCAGCATATGAAGCCTGTCTACGTCTGCAGCTATGACTCTCCCAGATTTCGAGCTGAGATTTAGATATAGGCTGTGATGTGAAATTACTTTTTCTTTGTTTTCTGACAGCTGCCATTGCTTGAGGAAAATCAAAGTTTCGGCCTCCAATCTTCTCTTACTGCGCCCTTAGCAGCTCCTTTCAAAAACCCCCAACAGAGAAAATGAGTCAGAAGAAAGACTGTTGTCAAACATTGGGAAAACTACACACGTCAACAATCCATGCTCAAATGGAAGTACCTGCTGCTGCAAGTGCTGGAGCTGGATTCACAGAGCTGTGTGGGGCACTTACATTCACATTTGCAAATGGAGAAAAATATTTCATTAGGAAGGAGGTAACCTAGTTGCAAGGATCCTTCCCTCCCCCTCTAAAAACAGCCCATAATCAATGTTAGGGGGCTTGTCAACCTCCACACCATATAAAGGCACACGTTGTTTTGGCCAGATTTTCTTGCACCTTCATGGAAGATGGGACGAACTTCTCCAAAATTAGAAGAGAACGTGTTTGATAGCAGCCTGGTTCAAGTCTCCTGATGATGGCAGCCTTGGTTTCATGCCACTTTGGAGTCAGGAAACATGGAGAAAGATCTTGATGAACTTTGGGTATGTCTACACTGCAAAAAAAAAAAAAAAAAAACAACCACCCAAAACAAAAACCAATCCCACTTCAGCAAGTCACAGAGCCCAGGTCTACAGATGCGCTAAAAATAGTAGATGTTCTGGCTTGGGCTCTGAAGCCTGAGGAGGGACATCCAGCCTGAGCCAGAACATCTTTTTTTTAGCACCATAGCAGAAGCCCGAGTTTGTAGATCCGGGCTCTGAGAGATGCTGCTGCAGGATTTTGTTTTTGTTTGCAGTGGAGACGTACCCTTTGAGGCCTTACTTCCATAAAAGCTTCCATGGAAACACCTTTGTCCAGCAGAAGGAGACTTTTGCTAAAGTCTTTTCTGATTTAAACATTCCAAACTTGGAAGAAGGAATACATTTGGCTAATCTGAGTTGATCGTTTGTTTGTTACAAAAGTTAAGTGGTGTGTTAAAAACACAGAGAAGAACTGATGTACTGCTCTGGATACAGCATATTTTGATTGCATAGATTTGTTGCTTTTTTCCTCCTCTTTAACACCTAGGATAGGGGGTCAATCTGAAGACCTTTTGTATCTTATAAATTGCCTTTAAGCACAAAGATTTAATCCTATTGGGCACATTTTCTGCTTATTTGTTGGCGCAAGGTATATTTATAACGTGTGGATGGTGTAAGTGAATTTGCGGGACTTGTTTCTTTGCCAGATTAATACATAAACTGTACCTTGGAGCTGTAGTAGAAGCTTTTAGTTTAGTACTCCACCTGATATCTCTGTTTTGATGCAGATGCTCTTCTTGCTGTGAGTCAGAGCTAACAGGGCATTTGCTAATACAGCTAGACACAGAATGCTTCTGCAGTGTGGCTCCTGTAATATAGAATTGATACACTGCTTTTAATATGAGTCTTTGTTTTATTGTACCTTCTCTTGCCTTAGGGATGCCATAGAGCTAATTAAAACATCTTTATTTAATCAGCTGGCTGAGTGCCAAATATTTCTTAAGGTGAAAAATAAGGTGCTTTTATCCTCATCCATGTTCAAGCTGTTTTGGTGATGTTTTGGTCGTTATCTTTCAGCACAGACACAGAATTGCTGAATGCTCAGGTCTGTTCCCACTTCAATGGCCTTTTCAGTCAAGACCGGGAAAGAACCGCCTTGCACGTCAGAGCATTCTGCATTCTATTTCCCCTTCTTCAGGAGCATGGGGCCATGGTATAAAGTGGCATAGGTAGGATGACTGTGCAGCTGCATGCTGTACTAGATTGGTTACAAAGCTCAGAGGCCTGAACTTATCTAAGGGGCTCCTCCTCTCGAGCATCAGCACAGAGCAGTGGTGTACGCTGACGTCGGCAGCATGCCTCCAGGAGACTGTCAACGTCAGTGTAACTCTTTGTCTTGGAAGAGAGGTGATGTCTTTGGAACCAGCGGATCTGTGTACTGTCTGAATCATATGGCTTATGGAATGTCAGTGGGGCCGGGGGGGGGGGGGGGGGGGTTTGATGTAAATGTTTGAATAATTTCTCACTCTATCGTAAGTCACAGTCAGTCTTCCTGTCATCATCGGCTGGGAGCTATTCTGAATGAATGGTCTCCTGTTAGCCTTCAGCACCTTCCTAGCAGTGAAACTGTATTAAGGTTTAAATGTGCTAATATAAATTAATATGAGATTAATGCTGCATTGCTGCAAACGGACGGATTATATGAGGGGATGGGTCTAAGTGAGGAGGGATGGGTGACTGCTGCTCCCGCTCTGGCTCACCGTGAGCCACATTCTGATCCCCTTCCTCTCATTATGTAGCACCTTCCTGCATTTACTGTAATAAGACTACTTGTGGAGTGAGGTACTATTCAGCGGGAACACTGGGACGAGAATCTGGCCCTATGTAATTTACAGCCAGTTTGCCTACCTGCCTTTTTGTTTTTTTCTTTAAAAAAATAATCAGCTCAGTTTCTTCAAGAGGAGATAAATTTGTCTTTCCTTGTTGGTCAGTTTTTTTTACTTCTTAACCCCATCTCCACTTATTTTTGGTCACTTTCTGGGGCATTTTTCCCTGTCTGCCCCATTCCTTTTTGCGGCTAAACAGTGACAGACAGAAACTTGTGAAACCCCTATGAAGCCTACATAAAAATCTGAGTTATGAGCTGTGTCCCTGGTGAGAGACTGAAGCCCTGTGTGTGACCCAAGGGAGCTAAGGCTCTGTTTAGGGGGAAGATCCTGGCCTACAATGTGTGGAACCCATGCAGACTGTTCTAAATATTCAGACATGCGTGTCATAAGCATCAGCCCTGCCTTGTGCTTTCTGTGCGTGTGCAGGCATTATTTTTATTACTGAGTAAAAAATGACCTTTGGTCAAAACCATGCAAATATCTCTCTTTCCTCCTTATGTACAATCCAACCAGAAAACCTACTCATGTTTTCAAACATAAAATATTATTTTAATTAAAAAATAATTCTTGTCTTCATCCTCTGTTCTGTGCAATGTAAACTGCATGGCTGGCTAAGCTGTAGTATTCAAATGTTCAGGCTCTTTTGATAATAAACACATTGTCTTTCTTCAGCAAGCAAAATCTCATGTGAAACCCCTTGGATATACTGAAACAAATCTACATATAGTGATGGTCCTTAAAATCTTCCCAGTTTCACATAAAATGAATGGATACAGATAAGCTGGCCTCAGTATCTGTGGTATTACCATGACACACTATCAGTGCTTCAGATATTTACCATATCAGATTACAGATAGTTAAGAACCAGGGTCTAATGGCTGCACAGGGAGTAAGGCCAGGCCACAAACCCCAGCATGGCCACGTGAGACCTACCCAGATCACGACGCCAGGTACAGGTGGGAAAGCAGGGGACTGTGTGCCCATATTTTCCCTCAAACCCCCCACTACCTGGGCAGGGGTGGGAGGGCTCTTCCCCACATGGTGTCAATCAGCAGTCACCTGTAAAGGGCTGTAGCAGATTCCTCCCCTCACTCAGTACAGGAAGGGAGTGGTTATGCCTCAGGGGGTGTCATTGAATCACAGTGTCTCCTAGGGCTACTTCTGGGTAGTGCAGTTGTCACATCACCCCTTGCACAGGGCAGTGCCTAAAGCCATAATGTGACCCTTAGTTATCGAAGGCACCTGGCAAGCTTTTAAGAGCCACCCCTATATTGCTTATTGCACACATCTCTGCTTTATTTTTGTTTGAAGACCCACATCTGTTTTATTAGAAAACAAACTGGTTCCACTTGCAAACTCTTGTAGCTCACGAAAGCTTACGCTCAAATAAATTTCTTAGTTTCTAAGGTGCCACAAGTACTCCTTTTCTTTTTGTCTCATTTTGTGAAACTTTTTTTTTTTTTTAAAACAACCCACCCGGAGTCACCCAGCAGTGTGAAGTGTGAAAGGCAGGTAGCCTATGGCTAATGTTCCTTTGTCATTCCAGTTCTCCCTTGCAGAGGAGCCAATGAGGAGTAAGCGTGCAGATTATTCCTCTAGACCGAGTCTGAACTAACCCATGTTGTTTGTGCAGCATATTGCAATGTGCCTAACCCCGCCTTTACTACATTGCACTGGCTGGAGTACCTGCTGGTCTCAAACGTCATGAGGCTTCAGTTATAAGTGCAGACAATAGATAATTTCATTGCTCATTTTTATATAGGAGTGTAACGTCTTCAGAGAGAAAGAGAGTGAGAGGCACACAGACTGAAAGATGTTCTATTCAGGTATCCTCACCGAGCCTAGTCGGAAGGAAGTGGAGATGAGGGAAGCTGCATCTCTCCGACAACAGAGGAGAATGAAGCAGGCAGTGCAGTTTATTCACAAGGATTCAGCTGATCTGTTACCTCTGGATGGACTGAAGAAACTGGGGACTTCCAAAGACACTGTAAGATTTTTTTTAATTCATGAGGAAAAAATTATATTTAGGAGGCTAGCATGCATTGCTCTTCCCTCCCCCACCCCCCTTCTTGTTGCTGTTTAGATATGTTTTTATGTTAAGAGGATAATGAACTTGGTTGCCTGTGGAAGCAGAGGTAAATCAGCATGACCATGAGGCTCTTGTATATCGAAAAAGGAAGTGGAAATATGATTTTAGTTGCTCCTGATGAGGTTGTTAGCCTTTTCACTACTAACCTCATTTACAGGTCTGTATCTCAGACCTCAAAACAATTTAAACAAAATAGATGCAATTTTACCAGTACAGAATGCTTTCTTTGTATTGGAGTACATCAAAATGGCTTCACATATAATATATATGTATAAATTTGGTAAAACATAGAATCCCTTTGGTATTTAAAAAATGTAAAATTGTTGACATTAAACTTTGCTCAATGTTTTCTGTCTATGCAGTTTAATTTCCTTTCATTGAGATTTCATATTCAGGCTATAAATACATATTTGTGATCCGTGTTATCTGGTAAATGGTGTACAGTATAGAATGGTGTACAGTATACAGTATAGTATCACCTCCCATTTCCAGAAGAACTGGCTTCCTTCTAAAAGCTAATAAATAAAAACTTCCTTGCTTTCTTTGAATAGGAATAAAGATAAAATAGAACATTTAAGGTTCTGATGTAAATGAACAAAATTCCCAACATGTAATGTAAAAGTTGAATATCACTTCCCCATTGAGTCTAGATCTTGGAGTATATAACATACAGTATGTCTGACTGCTGTAATATCTCACACTAGGTTAACTGAAGGAGCTGAACTTTCTTACTATTTTGGCAAATTAATTTCGTTCTAACCTGGTCTTTTTGCTTGGAAACTTTGCCTTAGATCTATACATAAGTAACCAGTGGAATGAGTTTGGTGTTCTCTGCATTGTGCATAACAGAGATTTGTCTGACATTATAGAATTCACACTTGGGCACAACTCAGGGTGACTAGAAATTCTTGCCTAAGGGGTACACTTGGGTCCAGACTTGGAAAGTACTTTTCAAGTCAACATTGAATTGTGTTATTATTTATAAAGAGCCTAACACTGTGTGGTATTATTATTAGTATTACAATAGAGTCTAGAAACCCCAGCTGAGATTAGACCCCTGTAATGGTAGGCACTGAAAGACAGTCCCTGCCCTGAAGAGTTTACAGTCTAAACTGACTACAGAGACAAAGGGGGGGATGGGAGATAAAGGCACTGAGAAACTGACTGTGGCTCTTAATGAGCAGGTTAGCAGCAGAGCCAAGGATCAAACCCAGGTGTGCTGACTCCTGTGTCTAGTGCCATGTCTATCAGTGCCTGTCAGTGTTTGAAATGTGTAACCGGTGAAAGATTCAGGCCTTTTAGAGGCATTTGAGGTATCCTGGTCTGGAAATCTTTTTGATACATACAGTAGCAATTGTAATAACTTGATATATAAAAGAAGGAAAAATATTGCTCTTTGGAAGTATTCTTGTCTAGTCATGACAAGTCATTGTTGTCAGGGCTGGATTAGCAGCATCCAGAGTGTGGGAATGAACTCCCTTTGACATAGGTAAATTTCCTCCCTTCATTCCAAACCATCGCTATATCTGTCATGCTGGCTTCAACAGGGGCTTTCATTCCTTCTCTTCAGCAAGCACTAACAATTCACCCACAGCCATCTACCTCTTACTACTGTAAATGGTGACTGAATGGCAAGCAATAAATACATGGGTTGATGACCTAATATATCATAACAATACAGATTGTATGTTTGTGATGTCACCAGAGCCTCAAGTTACACGAGCAGGACTAACAAGTGGAGTTGTCCTCATCAGATGAGAGAGTGGGAGCAACTATCTATGCTAGTTTCTCGTTCATCAGCAATGGAAGCATCTAAGAGTCCAAAACCTTTTCAGAGGCTGAAAAAGAGGCACAGTGCTACTGTCATCTGTCCCCCTCCCCTGCTGCCCTTGAGAACAGCTGAGCTCCAACCCGGGATGGAAAATGAGAGAGTTGGAGTAGTGAGGGACACCATGCTCCAGAACCACCTCATCCTCAAGCCAGAGCTGGGAAAGACTCGCCCAAGGTGCACCCGGCTGCCTGGATCTGATTTTGTGTATGGACTAACCCTTCATGGGACCGATGGGGGAGTTCCTGAAGCAATAGGCCACTGGAACTCAGTGAAACACATTAGCAAGGCCACAAAGGAACTGCCGCGTGATTTTGTTGCCATGAACCGTGGAGCAGTCATAGCTGGTCTTGTCACAACAAAGGAACACTACCGGTACCGCCAAACCCATGACATCCGCCGTGCGGAAGATGAAGAGCGTCACTTTAAAAGGGACCCGCCGCGCCTCCCTGATGCCATGATCTATGGAATGCCAGCTCGCCCATCCACCCCCATCATAGATGTTTTTCAGCACAAGTATAAGGAGCTTTGGATGGAGGGACAACGAGTAGCAGCCCAGGCTCATCATAAGGCAAAACAGAAAATAATGCAGCGAGGGAAAGTATATGAAACATATTCCACTACGCTAAAGAAATACAAACAGCCCATGAAGCCAGACCCACTTTGGCATTTGCCCCACTTTCAGAAAGTGGGTCGTCATCTCGATACCTTCCCAAGCCAAGGAGATCGGGAGAAGGCTTTCAAAGTCCACCAGTCAGAAGCTGGAGTACGATGTGGAATATTTGCCCAGGGCATTTATACAAGCAGCTGAAAACTCAATAGGTTAAATTATTATAAATTGTGTAATAAAATAGAATATTCTCATTTCAGGTCTGAAAGAGAACAGTGGCAGTAACCAAACATATCAATCATAGACTTTAAGGTCAGAAGGGACCATCGTGATCGTCTAGTCTGACCTCTTGCACAACGCAGGCCACAGAATCTCACCCACGCACTCCTGTAACAAACCCCTGACCTATGTCTGAGCTATTGAAGTCCTCAAATTGTGGTTTAAAGACTTCAAAGTGCACAGAATCCTCCAGCAAGTGACCGCTGCCCCACGTGGCAGAGGAAGGTGAAAAACCCCCAGGGCCTCTGCCAATCTGCTCTGGAGGAAAATTCCTTCCCGACCCAAAATATGGCGATCAGCTAAACCCTGAGCATGTGGGCAAGACTCACCAGCCAGACACCCAGGAAAGAATTCTCTGTAGTAACTCAGATCCCACCCTATCTAGTGTCCCATCACAGGCCATTGGGCACATCTACTGCTAATAGTCAGAGGTCAATTAATTGCCAAATTTAGGCTATCCCATCGTACCATCCCCTCCATAAACTTATCAAGCTTCGTCTTGAAGCCAGATATGTCTTTTGCCTCCACTGCTCCCCTTGGAAGGCTATTGGAAGGTCTTGGAAGCTTCACTCCTCTGATGGTTAGAAACCTTTGTCTAATTTCAAGTCTAAACTTCCTGATAGCCAGTTTATATCCATTTGTTCTTGTGTCCACATTGGTACTGAGCTTAAATAATTCCTCTCCCTCCCTGGTATTTATCCCTCTGATATATTTATAGAGAGCAATCATATCTCCTCTCAGCCTTCTTTTGGTCAGGCTAAACAAGCCAAGGTCTTTGAGTCTCCTTTCATAGAGCCTGATTTTCAGAGGTGCTGAGCACATGTGAAAGTCAGGTCAGTAGTGTCTTGCCATCCTAATTTTGACTGCTGTCAGAAAGCTTTTCCGGCCATGTTTATTACATAACACTGTTTTGTAATACTTACACTGACGATGCCAGGTTTCAAAGCAGCAGCCGTGTTAGTCTGTATTCGCAAAAAGAAAAGGAGGACTTGTGGCACCTTAGAGACTAACACATTTATTTGAGCGTAAGCTTTCGTGAGATTTCCACTGTATTTTCCACTGACTGCGTCCGATGAAGTGAGCTGTAGCTCACGAAAGCTTATGCTCAAATAAATGTGTTAGTCTCTAAGGTGCCACAAGTACTCCTTTTCTTTCTACTGACGATGCAGCAGCCTCTTTCTTCCTTTATAGAGGAGTTTGATATGCACAAATAATAACTGTTTTAATTCTTGATATTCTTCCTCAAATATTTTTCTTTTGTTTGAATTAACTCCTTTTAGCCCAAATTACTTCTTGTAGGACTGTGAAACCACCTCCTGGGCAATGTTTATTAGTGTCTTTAATAAATTACTAGCACCCTGAATTATTGCCAACCTGTAAATCTTTCAAGCTGCTTTTGCCTTCTTAAGGTGCCTTAAGAATCCCAACACCTGTAACATGCATGAACTCAGAATGGGCCTGCTTCTAACAGATGATAGTGTTACCTACAGGAAATCACTGAATAGGCTTGAATAAAGACTGGGAGTGGATGGGTCATTACACAAAGTAAAACTATGTCCCCATGTTTATTCCCCCCCCCCCCCCGGCTGTTCCTCAGATGTTCTTGTCAACTGCTAGAAATGGCCCACCTTGATTATCACTACAAAAGGTCCTGCCCTCCCCGCCCCTGCTGGTAATAGCTCACGTTACCTGATAACTCTCCTTACAGTGTGTATGATAACACCTATTGTTTCATGTTCTCTGTGTATATAAATCTCCCCACTGTATTTTCCACTGAATGCATCCGATGAAGTGAGCTGTAGCTCACGAAAGCTTATGCTCAAATAAATGTGTTAGTCTCTAAGGTGCCACAAGTCCTCCTTTTCTTTTTGCGGATACAGACTAACACGGCTGCTACTCTGAAAACTGAATAATAGGTGGAAGTGATTTTAATCTGATATCTGCAAGTGTGTTAGAAGAATATGGATTTCTTCTCTGTGTTTTTCCCTTCACATACAGTCAAAGCTCATTTATCTGGACCTTCATTATTCAATAGCAAGTATCAAATACAGTGAAAAATGTCCATTTACTGGCAGCTGCTAGCCAGTGAATCCAAATTATTTTTGTATCCTACTTTTCATTTGTATAACAGAAAGTTAACTGTATCTTAGCACATATTGGATTTTGGCAGATATATTTAAATGTAATGTTATAAGTATTCGTTAATTTGCCAGTAATACATTGTCATCATCTCTCTGATCGAAAGCCTGAAGATTGACAGAAAACCTTCATGAATTGGGTGGTTTTCTTCCCAAACAGCTGAATTATGACTCATAATCCAAAAGTTATTGTGCACCGCCTCTTCAGTTTTACCCTCTGACTTCTCTCCTTCTCTTAACAACCGTACAGCAAGAATCCTTGCTAGCACCAAAAGTCCATCTGTGAAAGCTGACCAACAGACTGGTATCTTGACCACACACACACCTGACCATAAAGTCCTGAGAACAGCATGTGGAGCAGAGCAGTGGTTCCCAGACTTTTCACTAAGCTGACCCAGCAGCTGCATTTTGTCTTTTTTTGTGATCCACCATTACCTATATGGCCCCTCCACCACCTCACTCCTAATCCTGCCTGGTGCAGACGGGAGGCTGCAGTAGCTGGAGAACGAGCCCATCCTGCACCCACCTTGCAGCAGTGGCTCCCTGCTCTGGGCATCGTGACCTCGTGAGGGGGTCGCAGCGCCACTCAGGTTTGGCCCAGTTGCCCCTCTGCTGCCGGGCCAAACCTGAGTGGCGCTGGGACCAGTGTTCCCTGTAATTTTGTATGTCCACGTGCGGAATGAATTTTGTTATGTGCACCAATATGGAGGTGATGTGTGGTGGGGGTGGGGCCGAGGGGTTCGGAGTGTGGGAGGGGGCTCAGGGCTGGGGCAGAGGGTTGGGGTGAGGGCTCTGGCTGGGGGTGTGGGAGGAGGCTTAGGGCTAGGGAAGAGGATTGGGGTGTGGGAAGATGAGCGCTCTGGCTAGGGGTGCAGGCTCTGGAGTGGGGCTGGGAATGAAGGGTTTAGGGTGCAGGAGGGGGTTCAGGGCTGGGGCAGAGGGTTGGATGAGGGCTCTGGTTAGAGGTGAAGGCTCTGGGGTGAGGCCGGGGATGAGGGGTTCAGGGTGAGGGAGGGGGCTCAGGCCTTGGGCAGAGGGTTGGGGTGCGGGGGGGTGAGGGCTCTGGATTAGGGCTGGAGTTGAGGGGTTTAGGGTGGGGGAGGGGGCTCAGGGCTGGGGCAGAGGGTTTGGGTGAGGGCTGAGGGGTGTCGATGGGGATGAAAGGTTCATGGTGCAGGAGGGGGCTTAGGGCTGGGGCATAGGGTTGGGGTGCAGGGGCATGAGGGCTCGGGCTGGGGGTATGGGCTCTAGGATTGGGTCAGGGATGAAGGGTTTGGGGGGCAGGCTTCCCCGGGGCTGCGGCAGGGAGAGAGGACTCCCCTCAGCCCTCTCTCGATGGAGAAGCTTGGGACTGGGTGAGAGATGCCTCTCCCTAGCTGCAGCAGTTCTGGCTGGGCTGGGCCGGGGAGAGGCACCTGTTGGGTAATTTGGACCCTGTTGAGTAAATAAGATGCTAGGCAAGGGTGGAAATTTCTATAATTAAGTTCCCTAGCTTTTTCCTACTCTAGCCTCAGGGATAGAACAGCACTAAAAATATTTCCCTGATCCTTATTATTATTTGTCATGTGCTTCAGTATGCTAAATCCTGTGAAAGGATACAAAGTGACACAGGCCTTGTCTCCAGGAGAGTGCAATCTAGTTCAATCACGGGCAAAACAGTTCAGATCGAGATGATACACTAGCTGATGGTACAGGCTTGCGGTGATGAAGAAAGGATGGAGTCTTGCAGATGCTGTCCATGAAAGGCTGTGAGGGAGAAGAGCATCTGAAGGAGAGGGGACAGGGTTTGATGCAGAGAAAAGGTAGTTGAGTCCAAGCGGAAGGGGGGAAGGTGTGAAGATGACCGTGCCAGAAGAGCACAAAGGGGCTGTCTAAGGGGAGGCACGGGTGGAGCAGGAGGAGGAGTTGGAGGCAAAGAGAGCACAAATGTACATTTTGGAGGGGCCTCGTTTAGTTCCAAATAAATATACCAGCAGCATTCAACAACAGTGGGCTTCCGTGTATGGAAAGGGATTCGTGAAGGGAGACCTACATTATGGCATCAAAAGGGAATAGATTCAGTAGCTATTCCCAAGGGGATTGATTCCATGAGGGGCCACATATAGAAGTGAGAGGGCTATAAAGGGCAGTTAGAAGCCAAATACAGTTGGGGAAATTGGGAAGCGAAAAGTGAAGAAATAAAAACGTACATTCATTCCTCTGGCACCTCATCAGAGCTTAGCCCTGGGCCATATTCCTTCCAGCAGGCCTTTCTCTGCCCTGCATAGGGGACAGTGCACTCTGGAGATTTTTGTTTTTGCAGTTACCTCTCAATTGTTTCATCTGGGATAGGGTTTCCATCCCCAGAAATAGTAAGGGTGTTCAGACTTATGCATCAGTAGCCAAGGCTATCCGCTTACAGATCCAGGGCTTCACACGGCATCCTGTCCCCCATGGGAGCATGATTCCCTCCAGAACTGTACTCTGAGACTTCTGATCTGTTGCCCCCAAGCACAGCACTTGTGTGTGTGTGTGTGTGTGTGTGGTTTGATTTTCCTGTAGTATAGCTATTCCACCTGCCCTCCCTGGCTGGTCCCTTTGCAATCCACAGAGCCTATTCTTTGCTGTGCTCCCCACCCCAGGATCACAGTAAATGGAGATTGTGCTGTTGAACTAGCATGCTGGATGTCCCCCAAACCCAGTGTGAATTGAGGGGACAACTGGGCCTTTTGTTTGGTAGAACTGCTTGCTTGATTGGATGCTCTCTAGAGATCGAGATGTGACAGGCAGGCCAGAAATGTGAGCGGGGATGTTTGTGTTGCATAAATTGGTTAGTCTCTAAGGTGCCACAAGTATTCCTTTTCTTTTTGCAAATACAGACTAAAACAGCTGCTACTCTGAAACCTGTCATAAAATACTATAGAGGCTGAAGCGTCACATTTAGAGCCTTGTTTGTAATTTTCCTGCTATTTGCTTTATATGAATGTTTGGATCCAAAGGTTCCTTTGGTTTCTTTGTTTATTTCTCAGTTCTATTCTGTTGCAGCCTCACCTACCTGATGAAAGATGACATTTAGCAAATTCATTTTATAGTTATTTGGTCATATTTTTATTTTCTTCTTCTTTAATAAACTTTCCTTCCTTCAGCTACCTAGACACTCAATTGCTCTTTGACTGCTTGGCTGATACTTTGAACAAGCAGAAACAATGGTTCTCAGGCTTGTACAGTGTCAGAACTATGAATGACAGAACTTTATCTGTTCTGCTTAGTGGTTAATAGTTAGGCAATGTATGTACACTGGAGGCGGTCTGTGACTTGTTAGCAAATCCTCAGGAGGGAGGAGAAAGGTGACCTACTTTGTGATATTTCCAAGAAAGGCTGGCTTATGAAGTACCTCCGTCTGATCACGTATTTTACAGTAGTGTTTAGGCCCCAGCTAGGTGTCCTTGTGCTAGACACTGTCTCTGCCCTAAGAGGTTTACATTCTAAAGGGACAAGACAGGCAGAGGAAGTGCTATCATCTCCATTTGACAGAAGCAGAACTGAGACATTAAATGCCTTGGTCACACAGGCAGCCTGTGGCAAAGCCAGGAATTAAACCCAGATGTCCTGCCATCCCTGTCTTGGGCTGTAACCACAAGACCATCCTTCCTCTCTGTTGAGGGCCTAATTCTGAGAGATATTGAGCACTTGCTGGTACGTTTCTCTTTGGCTTGGCTGGAGGGTTGTCGTGGCCAGTGTAGTAGAGAGCAGAGCTTCTCAAGCGGCCTGATGTGGGGGACTCAGTAGGTCACGTAGTCCTCTGCATATTAAACAAGGCACTTAGTCAAAGGCCAAATTATTATCAGTTAAACTTCCAGATAGTTGAAGAATCAAATATATCTTCTCAAGTCTTTCTGAGGTCTGTTCTGATTCCAATGTTAATATCATGCCCTCAACTTGGCTATCCTCTTGGAAGGGGAAATAATGCTCTCCAAATACTATTTTGATGTCATGGAGTTTTCCCTTGGCTAATACATTTATACTTCTTTTGGTCTAGGAATTCCTATTGAATGTAGCTGAAGTCAGGTAGGTTATTTAGCCTTTGCTGTCTATATAAAAGACTTGTTGAGACTCAAATCACCAACCAACGGAGCCCAACAGTAGTATTATAATTTTATAATTGTATTATTATTTTTTGTTTTGTTTTAAAGCAGCCACATAACATTCTGCAAAGACGCTTAATGGAGACAAATTTATCAAAATTACGAAACAACCGAGGGACATGGACTCCAAAGAATGACATCTCAGCACAGACCAATAAGCTGAATCAAACCAAGCCAGACAACCCAAAGAAAAAGGAGGAAGAAGACTTAATATTAGTGTGCTGTCAGGTAATGCTTCCTCCATGTCTTCGCTAGCTTTTCCTAAATCCTTTTATCAGCAGTGCAGGAGGAATTGAACCCACCCATATAATAAAGGTACAACTAGGCTCCTTGTATTCCAGGGTTAGTGTTATGACACCCAATGTTTTTGCTGATGGGATATTATTTTTGACAGCTGTCTGTTTTCCTTCATACAAGGAAATGGACAATGTTGACAGCCCTGAAAAAATGCATTGTTACTTTCCAGCTAACTGTTCTCTCTCATATGATGGATATAATAGCAGTTCTGCAAAGCAAAGGCTCCAGTAACTTAAAAACGCAGCTGTTATGCTGGGTGAGCCAAACATAAGTCTCCTGGGGCTTTGGAGTTCCTGTGCTCCTGAGATGCCCAGTACATTAATCTTTCCATCATCATCATCATCATCATCATCATCATCACCACTAACTTCCCTTCAGTGAAGGCAGCCTGAGTGTGGTAGAACTGTGTGTGTCAAACTCTAAAGCCTTCCTCTCTAGGCAGGCAAGGGTCTGTCTGTGTGGAAATGCTCCAGGGAATGTCCTGACTGCCATTCCCGTTGACATTGGAGCATATAGGATAGCAGATCTGGGGTATATTTATTTTAAAAGTTTGGATAATTTTGTTTTGTGATTAAACCCCCCTACCTCCAGTGTCCCCTGTATCTTAGTCCCCTCAGGTCCCATCTCTCTTTCCATAAGGCTCCCACTTCCTGCCATCTAATATTGGATCTAGCAGAAGATGCTTATTTATAGAGCCAACAGGATGCTCAGTGCTGTATATATGTCCAGATCCTCAGATGCTGTAACGTAGCTCCACTGAAGTCCGTATAGTGACATTGGTTAGGATCAGCTGAGGAACCAGGCCTGTAACTTTTAAGGGGATAGGGAAGTTTTGATTGCCAGCATGTGGCCTCCAGTCAGCACAATGACTTTATCACTCTATCGAGAGGCTATGCCAGCCAAGGAATGGGATCTGAGACCTTTGGGGAAAGGGCAATCCCAGGACACCACAATAGGGACTATTTTTTTAGATATCTGATTGGCCCAATAGCTACAGATAAAGGTTCAATGGAAGTTGCAGGTGCTCAGCACCTCACAGGATCCAACCCTACATTTTCATTATTCTGTAGAGGAGTTTCATTTAAACATTAGTATGAAATCCTCACGTGCGCTAAGCCACAGTTGAGAGCCTGAGGGAAATAGAAAAGAAAGTGCTGGAACACTGAAACCTCAGTGGTGACATAGCAGGTGCTGTAGGAGTGCTGTGTTCCATGTACGTGGACCTTAGCACAGATGCAACTAACATTGGATTTCTTTCTTACATTCTGTTGTTCCTTTCCAACGCTCTTGTTTTCTCCTTGCAGTGTGCTGGAAAGGACTTGAAAGCTGTGATTGACACCAGTTGTCAGTATAATCTCATATCGTCTGCATGTGTGGATAGGCTGGGGTAAGTGGCCTGTTTAAACCTAACGCACGGTACAAGGCAGCATGTTGAGTACTCATACATGGTATCATTGCTTCTGTACAAACAAGGAAAGCTTTCAGAATTTCCACATTATTTCTGAAACGGTATTTAGGGGCCTGTTCTTGTGCCCACTGACATCAGTAGCAAAATTTCTCCCCATCAAAAAGAAAGGAAATAGGTTTAACAATATTAGAAGACTGACTTACAATAATGTATGGCAAAACTCCCATTGACTTGAATGGAGCAGGGTAAAGCCATTGGTGTTGATATTTCCCCCCCAGCAACACTGAGGTTTCAAGATCAGTTTACCATGATTATGCAAACAATTGTAATTGTTCCCTACGCACACACCACTAGGTAAATAATGACCATTTTCCGTAAAGTCTGTTATTTATTTGCACAAGTCTTTAATGGCTGCAAAGCAGCTGCACCTGCTATGAACAAGGAAGTAATCACAAGCATCCGACACTGACAAGTGATGATTATGCATTTAGGACTCAGTCCTGGAAGGTGCTGAGCACTCCTGAGAGGAGAGAAGAATTCTCAACTCCCAGTGAAGCCAATGGAAGTTGACAATGCTCAGTATCTCTCCACAGTGAGCCTTTACACACCAGACCAGAATGGCGCCCGATGTGTCTGTTCTTGTCCATTTACATGTCAGACTTGATTCTTGTACTTATTTTCAATCCCCTTAGAAAAAACAGTCCCAGCCGTCAAAGAGAAAGTCTAATGAGCTGACTTAGGTCAATATATGGGCCAATTTCTGCTCCTACTGAAGTCAATGGGAAACTTCCCGTTGGCTTCAGTGTCAAAACCCCTCTCTGTCAAAGAGAGAGGAAATGCGTTTAAATATTAGAGTACAGACTTACAGCCATGTGTAGTATTGGGCCCTATATCAGGAAATTCAAAATTAAAGCAGTCACTGCCTCCCTATATTTATTTGTACTACAGTAGCACCTCAAGGCACCAATTGAGATCCGGACCCCACTGTGCCAGGTGTTATACTGACACACATAGTAAGAAATGATCCCTCCCCTGAAGGAGTTAGTCTAAAAATAAATAAATAAATAAATAAATAAAGAGTATTATTAACCCCATTTTACAGATGAGGAACTGAGGCACAGAGGTCTTCAGGTCACTCAGGAAACCTAAGGCAGAGCTGAAAGCTTGAACCTGGACCTGAGTTTCTTGCTAGTGCTTTGACCAAAAGACCATTCTTTCTCTCAGCCAGCCTTTTGGGCCATTTCAGTTTATGTTTGCAGTGACCTGAGATATTGGGAGGTTGTGCTGCAGTGTGATTAATACAATAGCTTTGGTTAGTTTAAATCAGACATCGCACCCATTCAGTTCTGGCATCCACAGAGGCTCTTGTGCTGCAGCAGAATGCAGCAGCAGAGTTTACTTCAAAATGACTTAGATGATACATGGATCGACACTGAAAAAATTAGGGTTATTGAATATAGGCTTTTGTATTTCATGCGGCCATTGAAATCAGAGATTGAAAATACCTATGAAGAGACCTCATCCATTTCTCTGCCAGTACAAGAAGGTGCTTATAGTACATTGTCTAGTATTACTTTGAGCAGTCTGGTTTTAAAGGTCCCAGGAAAGGACTCCACCCACTGGACTCCTAACTCCTTCACTGCCTAAGAGATCTCACCATCAGAATGTTCTTGATATTCACACTGAATTCTCCCTTTCTTTTCTTCATCTTTTTACACTTACGCCTTGTGCCACCCTAAATACTTTCCTTACATGTTAGGTAAGAGATCAGTTTAATTAGCCTGAAGTGATCTTCTAACAAATCCTCCATGCCTGGCAGTGAGGGGTATTAATGGGCTCGCTCTGCAGAGATGAGAAGAAGGATCCCACTTTATCATCATTTAAGTACCTCCTTTTGCTGGTTATGGCTTTTCAAGCTTGCTTTCAGGCCGATTTTCTGTCTGACTGAACATACATGAACACATTCATTACACGCCCTTAAGGAGCTGTCACCATGCATCCATCTTGTCCTGAGGTTCTGTCCGTGTGGCGTGCTCTATCCACAGCTCTGCTTTTCTTAACTGAGTCTGGTTCTGACTTGCAACCAAAAGCAATTTAGAAAAGGCAAAAATCCATGTGCCTGCCCCCAAGTAATTGTTCTCTCCTTTGCTGCAGGCCACATTCAGCCCTTGGTTACAAATGTGCAACCCCACTGACGTTAATCTGGCCCTGACTAAGGGACAAAAGGGGCCAGATCTTGCCTTCTTCTCAGCTTCCTGTGTACTGCTATAGTGGCACAAAGGGGGCAGAAACCAGCTGCATCTCACCTGTGGATGTAGATCCAGCATAGCTGGCTCCTACCGACTCCCTTCTTTGCAGCCCTCAAAATAGGTGGTATTTAAGGAACAGGAAGGGTAATGGAGGGAGTGTGGCCAGAGTACTGCACTCCTGTCCTCTACTGGCAGACAGCTCCTCGGGCATTCTTTCCAGCTCATGGAGTTTACAGCAGCACCCAGTCTGCTCTAAACATTTCCAGGGTCAGCATAAAGCCAGTCTGAAGATCAAGGAGCGACAAGTGGCTCCCTGATGCCTTTCCCCACCTGCGTTGCTGTTCCCAGTAGAGACTGGGTGCAGCAGAGGATCTAGGCCAGTGATTTTACCTAACATCACAGAGAGACATGGAATTCCTGGCAAATAAATTGAGCTACTTTTTTCTATATAACGAACCCTTAACATTGAATATTAAACAGCAAATTTCAATGTCCTCCTCTGGCCGTGACCTTCTTAGAGGGACAATAAAACAGCTCCGGGAGCCTTCTGCATCCCATGGGCCAGATTTTCAGAACTGCTGGTTCCCCAGAACTCCAACTGAAGTCCATGGGAGCTGTATGTGCTCAGCTTCTCTGAAAATCAGGCTCTTTGGTCCTGACACTGCAAGATACTAATCCCCCTTCCGCCCCAGTGAAGTCAGTGGGAGTTTAGGGTGCCTGGCACCTCTTGGGAGGCTCAGGCTGTATGATCTTTTTGTGCATCATGGGACTGTGAGCCTGAATTCCTGTTCTTTTAGCTACATTATTCACCATCTGATGAATCATTTGGTCATAACTCAGCCAGGCAATGATGTCTACACGCTGAGGTAGCAGAGAAGCCACACACTTGCCAGCTCCATAAAAAAGCTTTGCATCCCCAGCTGAGATATCTGTTGGCATCGGGGCAAGACCCAAGGCATCTCTTTACTCTACATTTTACTATAAGCTCTGTCTGTCTAGGCTTTTACACTGCACTCAGTATACCTGAACACCCACACCTCCTATAAGACAGCCCAGACAGAAATAAATTGATAAATACAGATCTAAATATAACCCATCATCTCATAATTAATTATGGAAATTAGACAATAGCCTTCTTTGAAGAGAGTCCCTTTGGGGCTGAATTTGCCCCATTGTCTAATAATTCCTGGTGCAGCCAGGCAGAGTGCTGCTTAATATCATGTGAGTGCTGGTGGAAAACAGGATTTCCTAATATTGTGTTTATACTTCTCCTGAGTGGATTATCAATTTAGATGGTGAGGTCATCACTTTGTGATGCTCAGTCATGTGCATTTGGTAGAAATATTATTGGTAATCACCTGCTTCACTCTGAGCAATCACAATAATTAATCAGAATGTTAAATGGTAATGAAATCAGCTAAAGGAGTTTTGCCATTCTATTCAGTTCAGATGTAAAAGGAAACTCGGGGGAAAGTATTCCACTTCACTGTCTTTAATGTGCCTGGTAAACCAGAACACATGGAAAGATTTACAAAAAAATGGAAATCAACAGAATTAAGAAATTGAAACTTGTTGGTCCTTCGCTCGGCAAGACAGTTCTCTGGGACAGGAAAATGGCGCTTTTAATGGACCCAGCCTCAAAGTGCCTTGTTCAGGGTTGGTTCCTCTAGGGATGACTGCTCTTGCAAAGCAGATTTGTGGGGGGGAAAACCACCTTACAACAATCAAAAATGAATCTGGATTATCCCAGGCAGGAATTATTGCTTTGTGTTTGAATTTCTACTTAATTTCAGTTCAATATAAAATGTGAAAAAATGCACCTAAATAATCCATACATGTTATCAGAATAGTCTCTGGAATGTAGTGAGCTAGGGAAAATACCTTGTTGAAATATAATACATCATTGACAAGCCTTTCCTCTTCTGCTGGATATTTTATTTATATGTTACCACTTCCAGGGAAGTAATTTGTCATCATCTCCTAATGAACAAAAATCACATATACTCTCCTAGCTGTAAGATAGTCTGGAGAAATTTTTGGCCAAATGATGATGCGGTGGTAGTAGTTCAACTGCCTTGAATTCAAAGCAGCGAACACCGGCGCTGACTTTGGAACATTGTTACTAGAAGACAGCTTCGGATTAACAGATTCTTCTGTCCTGGGGAAATGAGAGAGAACTCTAAAGAACAGGCTCCTTCAGAAAAATAAGCTGTGAAATACAACCCAAAACAATTTCTTCATTTTGGGCTTGATCCCGCCCCATTGAAACCAATGGGACTTTTGTCATTGACTTAAACAGGAGTAGGATCAGGTCAGGATACTGTATCATCACAGACAGGTTACTAATAAAGAAGCTTCAGATGATAATCACTTAATAGGAATGAACTGAGAGCTCAAAGAATAGAGTTTTACTGCCATCTCAGCTGAGCAGCCACTGTTAAATACAGTTACTGATTTCAATGTACAGGTTAAAGGAGCATATCAAAACATACAAGACTGAAGGAGAGAAGATTTCATTACCACGCAATATGAAAGTGATTGGCCAGATAGAGCATTTAGCTGTTACAGTGGGAACTATCCACGTGGACTGTTCTGCAGTTGTCACAGGTAAGTGGTTGGGCAGTATCTTTCCAGTGCTGTAGATATGATATCTTCAGACTGGCTTTATGCTGACCCTGGAAATGTTTAGAGCAGACTGGGTGCTGCTGTAAACTCCATGAGCTGGAAAGAATGCCCGAGGAGCTGTCTGCCAGTAGAGGACAGGAGTGCAGTACTCTGGCCACACTCCCTCCATTACCCTTCCTGTTCCTTAAATACCACCTATTTTGAGGGCTGCAAAGAAGGGAGTCGGTAGGAGCCAGCTATGCTGGATCTACATCCACAGGTGAGATGCAGCTGGTTTCTGCCCCCTTTGTGCCACTATAGCAGTACACAGGAAGCTGAGAAGAAGGCAAGATCTGGCCCCTTTTGTCCCTTAGTCAGGGCCAGATTAACGTCAGTGGGGTTGCACATTTGTAACCAAGGGCTGAATGTGGCCTGCAGCAAAGGAGAGAACAATTACTTGGGGGCAGGCACATGGATTTTTGCCTTTTCTAAATTGCTTTTGGTTGCAAGTCAGAACCAGACTCAGTTAAGAAAAGCAGAGCTGTGGATAGAGCACGCCACACGGACAGAACCTCAGGACAAGATGGATGCATGGTGACAGCTCCTTGAGGGCGTGTAATGAATTATAAGCTGATCTCATATCTATTTCAGTGTGCCATGAAGTAGGTAGTGGGTTCATTTGTGCACATCAACAACAAATGTGAAGCTGTTTGACCATTTTAAAATAGAGATCTTTAATATAAGAATGAAAGTATTTTTTTCTCTTATTGTTTTAAAGTGAATTTATTGCTGGATCAACAGCGCAAGTCTGTCTGTTGATCCACAGAGCAGGTATCATAAAGGCATCAGCATGTAAGATTCCCTGTACTTCCCTGCCAATAACATATCTTGTCCCTGACCTGGAAACAGTTTCGTCTCCACGGCGTATTCTATCCTTGGCGCCTCTGTTGGGACTGCCAAAAAAGATGATTATTTTGTGTTGTGAAAATCTGATCACTAGGAATTGGATGGAAGTCACCAAACTCATTTCACACCAGGACCTGATCAGGCAGTAATGACTTTCAGTCACTACCCTCTTTGGGTCAGAGGTGAAAAGCTCTGTAGTCTACTTCTGATCCCTCTGGGCTCATTCAGTCCCTTTAGTAACTGATCTGTATTTAGCTGAATGTCTTTCCATAAAAAGTGGAGATATTTGCAAAGAATACAATAGACCATTGTTAATTCAGAACCTGATTTTATTTATTTATTTTTTTTAGCAGAAGACAATGAGAAAAACTTTTCCCTTGGGCTCCAGACCTTGAAATCTCTGAAGGTAGGATTTCTCTTGTGTGTACCCTCTTGTTCTTTTACTATTGTGGAGAGGATCATTATGGGTTTTTTATTTCCCCTCTTACATTTGTATTTATTATTATTTTAGTGTGTCATAAATATGGAAAAGCATCACCTTGTACTGGGGAAGACAGAGAGAGAAGAAATTCCATTTGTTGATAATAACATCTCCACAAATGGAGAGGAGTAAGTATGTAATTCTAAAGCTGTGCTGGAATCTCATGGTGTGTGTTTTCCTTTTAGCCTGGAATGCAGATCTAGCTAAAGCAGTCATCAAACTGGACCTGATCCAAAGCCCATTGATAGAAAAGGAAATCTTTTCATCGATGTCAGAGGGCTTTGAATCGGGCCACTGGATTGTTTTCGGGTGATTCTTGTCATGTTTTTGTAAGCTACCCTCAAACAGTAGAGGGTCATTTTCAAAGAGATACACAGAGGGGATTGACTTAGCTACTTGGCTCTTTTTGAGGTTAATGGGGGTCATCTGCCTGACTCCTGACACTCTGCTTTGAGAATGTTCCCTGAGAAATATTTTTTCTGGAAAGGACTTTAAATACAAGGGAAATGAATACACACAAAACTCTTAATAGCCCACAGTGCAGAAATGTTGTGAAGCACTTCAAGGTAGTGTTGGTACCCCTTCCCCTCATGCTATCCTGTCACCAATGGTGCCTCTCTGCTGAGTTAGCTGATGGTCCGAGGCCATCCCCAGTGGAGGAGAAATCAGTGACTTGGAGTCTGGGTATATTCTAAGTGTCACTTGCTTTATTTACACACACCAGTCCTGAATAGAGGCAGTCAAGGAGCATGCAGGGCAATTCCTTCTTCCAGGAATAATAACAACACCTAGTTCTTGCATAGCTCTTCCCATCAAAGATCTCAAAGCACTTTACAAAGGAGTATCATTATCCCGCTTTTCAGATGGGAAAATGAGACGTAGAAGGATGAAGTTTCCTAAGGTAACCAGAGCTACAGCTAGAACCCAGATTTCTTGAGTCCTAGTCTGGTGTCCTGTCCATTAGGCCACATTATATCTCTCTTTGAGTGTTACATCAATGTCTGGTTACTAGAGAGCTACTCTACCTCAAATATGGACTCTAATCAGAGACCAAAGCAGAGACCAAACTCGCCTGCAGCTCACACAGCTCCTTCTCTCAAGATCACCACTCTTTACAACAAAAATTTATAGCAACACAGCATGTCTTCCCAAAGCTGAACATTTGCTTATTGCTAAGGAAAAGAACTGGGAAGAACTATGTGTGAGAGGACCACCTGCTGACCCGTGACATAACAGTATTGTAAGTTTTCATAGTGTTGTTCAGGTGTCTTTTAGCAGCCTGTTATCAATAATTATGTGTATTCTAGTAATACCTACGGACTTCAACTAGTTCAAGGCCCTGTTATGTTAAAGATGACCCCAATAAATATAGCCCAGTGAGGGGTCTCAAACATGCGGCCCGTGGAGTTATTTCCTGCGGTCCACCATAGGCACCAACTCCACTGGCAGCCAAGCTCCCCTCACCACCCCCACCACCCCGCCCTAGTGGCAATGAGAAATAAACAGGACTTCAACTACTTCTATTTGCTTTCATACGGCAACATGCCCAAAAAGTAGGCCCATGTACTAACAACGAGATTAGGGAGTCTGGGCACATGTATATACAGTGGTTGCCATTAAAAGTCAATGTTTACCAGCAGGTGACACACAACTGTCTGTGAGATACTGCTGTTATTTTCCATTCTAAGCAAAGAGAAGTACTGACTGGGGGGTGACTGTGGTCCAATGTTGACTTTTTAATGGCAACATCTGTATGCAAGTCTCTGGCATTTCTGAGACTCCCTCCACTACCATCCTTTCCAAATCTTATGTTTTATCATGATGATACCAGACAGTGCCGCACCCCTGGCATACTCAAAAACTCCTGTTCACTCCCAACAAATTTACTACCGTAGCTCGGCTGAGTGCAGAATGCTGCCCTTTGGCTACCTGGGTTAGAATGGAAATTTGGGATTAGGAATATCATTCATCTGACCCTTTCAATCTACAAGGTAAAAACAGCGTGCTTTTCCCTTTTCCTTCAAGACATATGTGAATATGGCAGAAGCTAAGGTTGTAGTCTGTTAGAACTGGCAACAGTAAGAGGTGCTAATATTGCTAAACAATACTATCTCTTAGTACTGACTAGGGTCCAGTCTTGCCATTTTTACTCAGCCAAAATGTAATGCGCAGACTCCAGTGCACCCATCGTTTCCCAGTTCCTAGGACTCCGAGCGAAAGGCACCTACCCTTACCCAGTTCCTAGGACTCAGGGCCACCCATACCCACTTCCTAGGGCTTGGCATAATCTGGTCCATTTAAGTACCAACCCTTACCCTTCCTTTGGACTCAAGGCATACTCTTCTACAGGTTTGCAGGATCTTTTTACCAGTGAAAGAACCTTACACAGAAATATCCTTATTCTCTATTTATTAATTACCAAGCAAAACACACATGCTAGGCACCGACTCCGTGGCTGCTCCAGGGCTGGAGCACCCATAGGGAAAAAATGGTCACTAGCAGCCCCCCCCCATGAGTCCCCACCATCCCCCAGTGCCTCCCTCCCGCCACAATCAGCAGTTTTACGGTGTGCCAGAGACTCTGGGGGGAAAGCGGGAGGACCGAGGATGTGGTGTGCTCAGAGGTGTTCCAGGGGTGGGAAGAGGCGAGGTGGGGACTTGGGGGAAGGGGTGGAGTGGGGACAGGGTCTGATGCAGAGCTGGGGGTCGAGCACCCCCCCGGCACATTGGAAATTCAGCGCCTGTGCTAAGCATACAATGCTATGCTCACCAGTCCTGATCACACAGGCAGACTTTCCCTATTGGCCACGCAAGGTCAGTTACATCTGGGTTCTGGTTGCTTGCCGCATGTTACGGTCATGCAGAGGATTCTTAGCAGCTCTGATTTTAAGGTGTGTCTTGTGGGGTGTGTAGTTCTTTCTTCTTTCAGCTCTTTCCTCCTCCTCCTCCTTCTTCTTCTTCTTTCCCCACTGCTGGTCTCCTTCTTTGACCCTAGTTTATATAGTGAAATTTGAGTCCTGCTTAGCTATACCTTAACCAATCATTTTACTAAAATATTACATAATAATTCTTTGACCAATCCTAACATATTGCAAAATAATTCTTTAACCAATCATATCCTACCACCTTGGTTGATTTAAATTTTTCAAAATTAGTTATGGAACAGACAGAAACAATCAAAGAACCAGACAGAGACCATACAGCTGAACAATAGAGAAGTAGGGACCATAAAGACAAAACAATAGAAGTATAGCTTTTACAATCACAACTGTTGATAAGTGATTCCTTGCCAGACAACGTTTTCCTTAAACAGCTTAAGAGATTCCTCACTTATCTGTGATGGTGGGTACTACTAGGGGGGGCGGCTTCTTAACAGTCCAATATTAATTAGGTTGTTCTGATGTAATTTAGAAGAAATGTGAGGAGTTGACTTTTTGCTTCTTGGCTCTTGGCTGCTGCTCTCCTAATGACAGGTTTCAGAGTAACAGCCATGTTAGTCTGTATTCGCAAAAAGAAAAGGAGTACTTGTGGCACCTTAGAGGCTAAGGTGGGCCACCAAGGTGGGCCATTGGAAATCAAGGTGGAAATGGCCCACCTTGATTATCATACACATTGTAAGGAGAGTGGTCAGTTTGGATGAGCTATTACCAGCAGGAGAGTGAGTTTGTGTGTGGGGGGTGTGTGTGAGAAAACCTGGATTTGTGCTGGAAATGGCCCACCTTGATTATCACACACATTGTAGGGAGAGTGGTGACTTTGGATGAACTCTTACCAGCAGGAGAGTGAGTTTGTGTGTGTATGGGGGTGGGGGGTGAGAAAACCTGGATTTGTGCTGGAAATGGCCCACCTTGATTTTCATACACATTGTAAGGAGAGGTTTCAGAGGAACAGCCGTGTTAGTCTGTATTCGCAAAAAGAAAAGGAGTACTTGTGGCACCTTAGAGACTAACCAATTTATTTGAGCATGAGCTTTCGTGAGCTCACTTCCACGGTATGCATCCGATGAAGTGAGCTGTAGCTCACGAAAGCTCATGCTCAAATAAATTGGTTAGTCTCTAAGGTGCCACAAGTACTCCTTTTCTTTTATTGTAAGGAGAGTGGTCACTTTGGATAAGCTATTACCAGCAGGAGAGTGGGGTGGGAGGAGGTATTGTTTCATGGTCTCTGTGTATATAATGTCTTCTGCAGTTTCCACAGTATGCATCCGATGAAGTGAGCTGTAGCTCACGAAAGCTTATGCTCAAATAAATTGGTTAGTCTCTAAGGTGCCACAAGTACTCCTGCTCTCCTAATGTGGCTGCAGAAAATAGCCCCAGACCTTACAGAAACTCCAGTTGTATTACATTCTTTTTTTCTTCCCATTTCAGCTCTTCTGAGGAATAAAGATTGAAACACCCACAAATGAGAAACCCTGACATCGAAGAAAAACTGCACAGCTGCTCCACATGAAATAGCAACGTGTATCATGGATAACACCTATGCTAGGCTACAGCTGTAAAGCTAAATTCAATCATATTCCGTAGCCAGTAACTTAGCAATGTTGTCTTGTTTTTGAGATAGAAACATATGCTTATTTTCTAGACTCGAATATAGTGCACCACTGATTATGAATGGTTTGACAAACCTGATGAGTTTACTCTAACGATGAGAATAGTACTTTTTATAGCAAACACAATTATTTCATTTGAGGCTATCTGTGATTAGAAGCTACCAGAATTAGATTTTTACTAATGATTTTTTCAATAGCTACTATTTATATTCACTAAATTGACACCACCAGGTTTAAATAGCCATAAAAGGAAGCCACTCATATTAAAATATCAACATGAATACCACATATTGGTAAAAAAAAATGACCCTAGTAGCCATAACGTTATTGCCATGTTATTAAGGATGTGACTGTGGAGTCTATGAGAAGAACAATCATATGATTATTCACTGATCAAATTTGTCTTCAGGACTTCTATTTACCAGAAGACTATGACCAGAACTATTCATAGTTCAATAACAGCAATTATCAAAAATTCTCCATCCTGCTAGATTTGTATGTTGAGTCACAAGCACAAAGTTTTACAGTTTAAAAAGCAGCCGTGATGCTGATAGACAATTTGGCCTACTAGATTCAGTCGTGAACCAAGCCTTAGTGGTGTAGGACATTGTGATCCAAATTCACTCTGAGCGCCTTTACTTGTCTCCCCACCCAAGTGCTACTCCCTGAGCCTATGCCAGCATAACAGCTCTAGCTTGAGCTTGAAACTACCCTTGGAGCACCAGCAGTTAGATAGCTGGGTGGACTTTAAACTCCTATACTTCAGCATCATTATCTTTAATGCACTACTTTTATATCTATCTGCAAATTCCCCAGGAAGTCTTAAAGTGCAAGACCAAACCTGATCCCCCTGAAGGAAACTGGGAGTTTTCATTGGGACCAGCATTTGGCCTTTTTTGCTATCTTATTTTAATGATGATGCCACTACTTCACAGAGAGCCTACCTGTATAACAAAAGAAATCCACTGCACCACTTGAAAGAATCTGACCTTTTACAAAAAGAAAAGGAGGACTTGTGGCACCTCAGAGACTAACAAATTTATTTGAGCAGAAGCTTTCGTGAGCTACAGCTCACTTCATCGGATGCATTTTACAATGATCCTCTATATGTTTTTAAAGGCTAATGGGAATTATTTACTATCACCAGCTGAGGGGCTTCTTTCAAAGCTAAGAACTTTGCTAGCCAATCAAGTCAGCTAATATCCTTCCTTATGTTATTGAGTCAGAGTGTTTGGCATAACAGGTGTCAACACAGCTAGATTTTCAAAGAGGCTCTTTGTACTGCTTCTTATGCTGTGTAACCATGGGGCTGAATCCTGCAGCCATTACTAAGCCTAACTCAGGTACCAAAAGCACTTAGGTACCAATTCAGCAAGGTACTTAAGCATGTACTTAATTTAAACATGCGTTAGTCCTACTGAAATCAATTAGACTACTCATGTACTTAAAGATACATGTGCTTATTAAGTTCTTTGCCTGATCAGGGTTTCAGCTGGTAAAATCCTGCTAGACTTAGTTTCTGCAGCACCCACTGAACTCAAATGGGACTCAGCACCAGTTAGGAATTGGCCTAGTGGGAATTTTGTTGGAATAAGGACTAAGGGCTCTCCTTGACTTCATTGGGAATTAGATCAGGCTCAGAGCATGACCTGCAGAGTTTGACCCATGGTATAGGTTTGTCCTGAGTTTAGGGGATCTGTTCACAATAACATTGATCGCTGTATACTGCTGTCCTATGACTACAATAGCAGGTCTAACTTTACCACATGGGTGCCTGTATTTTACCAACTTGGAGCTTGGTCTCTTGCAGTGGATTTGAAACTATCCATTTTTAGTCTTGGGTATTTATACTGCTATCAAATTTGGATTATTAGTGTTTTGGGCTATTTTCTATTTCAGTGATATGGTGCAGTACTCTCAGGGCCGTCCTTAGGCATACGCAGCTGTGTAGAGCACCTGAAAATTTGGGGCACCACTGGGTCTTAATGTCCACCCTTCTTGCTTTTCTATCCCTGTTCTGACCCTTCAGGCAGGCTCCCACAGCTGGCTGCTGCAGCCTGGTGAGTCTTCCTCAGGAGGAGATCTAGCAGTTAAAAGTGAAAAAGCCTTCCAGCCTGCCAGACCTATTAGCACAACACTGAAACTGTTAAAGAGCCATTCAAGGGGTAATGAAGCCTTTTATCAGGCACTTGACAACCCCCAGTTTCTGAATTTACTGACAAAAACAGTTGTGCTTTACTGTAATATTTACTCAGAACATGTTAGTCTACAGGATCTTAGTTTAAAATGTGCTTTAAAAATATTTCATTAGTGAGTTGGTGAAGATTATAAAATCACATCTCTAAAAAAATCCTTGCACAGATTTTTTAGATGCACAATCATCTTTAGCCTTAAATGCTTGGATCTTCAGACATACCGTTTTTTAAATAAATCCTTCAAAAGACCACCCTTATCTAAAATACACATTTTAATTACTATAGTAAAAAAACCTTGCTTCCAAAGTTTTCCTGTCCTTTCTGTCCATCCCTTTCTCCCTTCATCCCTTCTCCCCCCAACCCCCATTGAAGAAAGCCCTTAAAGGGACAACACCCCTTTCCTTCCAGATAGCTGGACAAAGAGTTTTCCTTTCTTTAGTTCTGGCTATCTGATGAACTAGTTTTAGGGTGACCAGACAGCAAGTGTGAAAAATCGGGACAGGGGGTGGGGGGTAATAGGAGCCTACATAAGAAAAAGACCCCAAAATTGGGACTGTCCCTATAAAATCAGGACATCTGGTCACCCTAACTAGTTTTAAGAAAACCCTCCAGCAAAATCAGTACCTTAGTAAGATATAAAATCATTTGTTATGCCTAAAATCTTTAGAAACATATTTTTTAAAATTGGTGAAATTTCATAAACATGTCTATTGTTATGGAGATCACACAAAGTAAATTAGTGTTCCCTTTTTCTAAAAGCAATGAACATTGTAATGAACACACTAAACTTCTGTGACTGATTAATTTAAAATAATATCTTTATTTCAGTGAGTTAAATATATAGTAATCTGGAATGATTACTTTATGAAGGCTTGAGAGTACATTTAAAATATAAAATCAGCTTAGAAATACTGATTAAGAAAATGTAAAACAGAGAAGAGTTGCATCATGTATTCCATAATATTTAATGTTGTATTCAGCAAAGCAGCTGGCTCACCCTCACTACGAAGATTTTGCAAATAAATGTCTGACAAACTTCAGGGCATATCAAAAAACCTGTGACTGACATTTTTTATTCCCAAGTTTAGTGCTTTTAATTAGGTATCTTCTGCATATCCATTCTGTGTGAGGGAGAAGGTACAGGGGTCTCTGCAGGGAACTCCGACTGTCCGCCACTGAGGTGGGCCAGGCGTCTCGTTATCCTTTGCTGCCTCGTCCTTCCTCCCCCTTCTCCCCCCAGGGCTGCGAGCTCAGGCTGCTGTCGGGCATAGGGGCACCAGTTTAATAATACTGAGTAGGGCCCCATAAATCCTAAAGACGGCCCTGAGTACTCTCCTGTACATACAGTATTTTATATAAGACCGCTCAATATATAGGAGAGTTGGACTGCACTGTATGATTCTGCCAATGTGTTGTACAAATGTCTTTCACTAAATAGGGAATATATTTGATGAAACGTATATGCCATGAGTTTTGTATTTTGGTACTTTATTCTTTCTGTGTTTGTTACTGTGCCAAATGTCGAATTAAAGTCTAAATAAAGTTTAAGCTGCTATTACAGTTTATTTGGTTGTGCCCTGAATACTCCAGTGATCTGTTTTTACAAGACTTACACTTGCAGCCATTGAAAATATGTAATAGGTTTCTGGCCTGAATAATCTAAAAAGTAGTTTTGTAAATCTTCCTGGAATTTATTCTCTGCAGTAGTGACATGAGTCATTTACCCTGTTAACAGGACATGAGTCCCTTTGTGATTGTTTGCTTCCAAATGTGCTAAATAGCATGCAGCATATTGTTGTAAAGTAACAATGTTGGAACTTTATCTTATTTCGCTGTATATCAGATTGCAATAAGATCTTTGAAATGAATTTTGTTTGTTTCAATTTTACTTTTTTTAAAAAGAGCTGTTTACACTCACAATAAGTTTCCCCACCTCGTTGAGACAAATATAGGTAGGTTTAGAGTAATATCAAGGAGACTTTGTGAATTTCAGACACTCCAATAAACATACTCCTAGAAACCTGGAAAGCAAAATAATTAGATGAAAAAGATAGAAAGGTCATTAGTGGGTGGTTTAGTGGATATATTGCCTGCAACATATCAACAATAAAATAGCAGAAACCTAGGAGTTAAGCCTTCCCCAAGCTTTTAATTTTTATTTGAACAGTTTGTAGCACTGAGGCCTAAGAGTGTACTATGCAAACCTCTTTGTTTCAGAAGATGCTTAGTAGAAGATTTCAGAGTAGCAGCCGTGTTAGTCTGTTTTTGCAAAAAGAAAAGGAGTACTTGTGGCACCTTAGAGACTAACCAATGTATGCATCCTCACGAAAGCTTATGCTCAAATAAATTGGTTAGTCTCTAAGGTGCCACTAGTACTCCTTTTCTTTTTAGTAGAAGATGTTGCTGGCCTCCTCATAATTTACAGGGTTTACTGTCACATTATCCTACATGCATATAATTATTGCTTCTCTAATCTAATGTCCTGCTGAGCTGATATTCCTCACTTGGATTAGAAATTCCTTTTGATCCCTCGCTTAGCCCTTCAGATATAACTTCTCCTTTTTGTCACATCACCAAATCTTTCTTTCTTTCTTTCTCTTTCTTTCTTTCTTTTTCTTTCTCATGTATTTCTGCTATCTGGGTGAACTAAACAATACAATTTGCTGACAAAAACAGTTGTGCATTACTGTAATATTTACTCAGAACATGTTAGTCTACAGGACCTTAGTTTAAAATGTGCTTTAAAATTATTTCATCAGTGTGTTGGTGAAGATTATAAAATCACATCTCTAAAAAAATCCTTGCACAGATTTTTAGATGCACAATCATCTTTAGCCTTAAATGCTTGGATCTTCAGACATACCGTTTTTTAAATAAATCCTTCAAAAGACCACCCTTATCTAAAATACACATTTTAATTACTATAGTAAAAAAAACTTGCTTCCAAAGTTTTCCTGTCCTTTCTCTCCATCCCTTTCTCCCTCCCCCCTCCTCCCGCCCCCCATTGAAGAAAGCCCTTAAAGGGACAATACCCCTTTCCTTCAAATCCTTCAAAAGACCACCCTTATCTAAAATACACATTTTAATTACTATAGTAAAATAATGTTCTTTTAGGGTCCAATCCTGCATCACTAGAGTCAATGGGAACTTTGCAATTGACTTCAATGGGCTAGGATCAGACCTTTAGTTTATATGTGTATATACAAGACTAGCTCATCCCAAGATATGGGCCCTCACTCCAAAAACTTAAAAATCACTAATATTTTTAAAAAATCGTATTAGATCATGTAGATTGCTAGGGTCCGCATTATCATAATCTAGATCTGGCATTTCTTCCATGCTACTAAACAACTCTGTCCAACCCTCTTCCCATTTTGTCTTCAAACGCCTGTGGGCGGTTGGGGGCATGATTTTTCAGCATGTCTGGAAAGGAAATAAATCTAGGCCCTGATCCAGCAAGGCACTTAAGCATGTGCTTAACTTTAGTGGAACTACTCAGATACTTAAATGCTTTGCTCAGTTGGGATCCTGTGCTCTAATGACCCATGTCTGAGAGTTGAGGGGTATGTGTGGAGAATACCCTGCCAGCAGTTCCCTCTTCCAGAATCAAAGCAGCTCCATGTCAAGCCCCTCTGAGACAGCATTTGTGGCAATACAACACAGCGGAAGGAGGAGTTTCCTGGTAACCCTGGCCCAAACCACTTTAGTCTTTAAAAGTCAAAAGTGACAACTTGAATTCCAGCTGGAAGATACAGACGGCCAGTGCAGCTCAGAGTGCTGGTGTCACGTGCTTCCTATGAAAAGTGCTATTTAATAAGCAGCTTGTGCATTCCAGGCTCGCTACAGCTTCTGAATGGGCTCAAGGTGTAGCCTTACAGCAACCTAATCCTGGCAGGATAGTCACAACCAAGCACATCTAGGTCTATGTCTGAGACAAAGAGTTGCATTCACCTTACCAGGACATATGGAAAAACCCAGCCTGTAAGAAAAATTGACACAAGCGTCCCAGGAAGGCAGCTGGGAAACAGACAAAATCAGTTTTATTTCTCTCTAAATAAAATTTTTCTTTAAATCACCTCCCACAAAATTTTTCACATTTGCCACGTTTTGTCCTAGTTTGGACAAAATTGTTTTCAAAAACACCCCCCACCCACCTCCAGGAAAGGATTCCCATTTTCCAGCCAGTTCTAAATAAGGGCTCTCAGTTTGTAAAGGTGATTCGCAAATAACATCCTTGACTAGAGGGGCTGATATAATTCTTGCCAATTCTTTCAGTTACTTCCCTCTACCTACTAGCAATATCTTTGCCTTGTCTGGATTGAGCCTGCATCAACTAGATCTCCTGTAGATCCTGGGTCATCCATTCTATTACACCACCAGCACCAGGTATCATCCACATGCTGCAGACAACATAGCCCATATCTCCTTATCACTCTTTCTAGTGTTGATGCCAGTTCTGTGCTTAATCCACTAGCCCATTGTCTCTCATCTTATTTCTCACTCATTCTGATATGACGCCCTCACATGCTGACCCTATTAAACTTGTATTACTCTGTCCTTGGACCACTGCTTTTCTTCTCTAGCCCACATGGCTTGCGGGGGAGGAAGGGTGATTTGGGACCTGAGTAATCTCAAATGGGAAGTCTCTGTTCTTTGGGCTGAGGGAGCCAGGAAGGAAAGGGCAGTGAAGCCCTGCTTAGAAACAGCTTATACACCCTCAAAGTACATTCTTTAATACTGATCCCTTTTAAACAGTTGTGTGGCACAAGGATTTTATTCAGTACGTAACATTTAGGAGCCTGTGTGAAGATGGAGGGCCAGACCCAGAAGCTAGGCCTGCCAATTTGCACCAGCTGCAGATGTGCTCACAACAGTCTAGTGGTGTGCGGTGCTTACTGTGCTCAGACTGCTCTCTCAAGAGCTACTTTTCTATTGTTGCTGGCAAAATGTTTATTTTCCTCCAGTTTATTTTCCTCCAGTGCCACAATTACAAACAAATTGAATTTTTTCATGGCTCAATAAGCCTACAATTTGCAGCTTTCAGCTTGTAGATTTGTTTGTCAACAGGGTGGATGTTATGATGTTCTCTCTCTGATTACAAAAAGTCCACAGGAATCAGAGTTCAGCAAAGACACAGCACAAGAGGAAGAGAAGTTAGTTGTCATCCTTCCAAGAGTTGTTACAATTTTCAAGATGCTCAGAGCTCTTGAAAGGAAGAAAGCAAGAAAGGAAAGCAAAATCTACATACAGCCACTCCCAGCCAGTGGAAAACACAAAGCCCCATGCTAGACTCTCCCAATGGGAGCCTCTCCATTGACTTCAATGGGCTTTGGATCAGGCCCAAAGCCCATTTCACAGTAGGACTAGGAAATCTACCACAAGAACAAAATATTGGCTTTCCCAAGCTCAAATGGAAATTCCATAGCCAAACCTCAGAACAACTATTACCAAGAGACCGGAAAGTCTTTTAGCAACTATAGCAGCGTGTTCTGCATACTCATTAAGAGCAGACCCCTCTAGCCCAGCCTATAAGGAATATATTTCTGAGGAAGGCCAAATAGGTTATATGTTACAGAGATCATGCAGTAGCAAACCACTGTATCTATCACAGGTATTAAGAAGGCCCTTATTGCCATAATATCTGATTGCCTCATAATCCTTAATGTATTTATAGTCCTGTCAGGTAGGGAAGTGCTATTATCCCCATTTTGCAGATGGGGAACTGAGGTATGGAGAGAGTGAGGTGCAGATTCTGAAAGGTATTTAGGCTTCTAACTGGAGATCGTTACCATTCCACTATCATAACACTGAAATCCATGGAAGTTAGGAGCCTAAACACCTTTGAGGAGCTGGGTTAAGCGATTTGCCCAAGGTCACACAGGACGCATGTGGAGAAAGGAATTGAACACAGCTCTTTTGAATTCTAAACTAGCACCTTAACCAACCTTCCTCTCTTTATAAGAAAAGCTTCAACTGAGGCACAGCAGCTGAGATCTGGAAAGATCGGGGGAGAAGAAGCACTCAGCATGAGAAAGGGAGGCGGAGGAAAAGGCTAGAAAGGGGGCATTGAACTGGTGTTAGAGAAAACCCTTGAGGAGAGGGTTCGGAACCAGAAAAAGTCTTTATCGGAAGAGGTCCTGGGACTAGAGAGTCAGGGCAGTGTTGAGTCTGAGAGTGAACAGCGGGTCCTAATGTCAGCATCCAGTAGTAGAGGGAGGGCCTGGGTCCTCCCTATGGTGATAACTATATCAACAAGCTGAAGGCTGGGTGGACAAGAAGAGAAAGCCATAGCCCAATGAAGGTGAAGGTACTGGTCAGTCTAGGCAGGGAAGCCTGCATTAATGGGTGAAGGGCTACTGAGCCTCACGAGGACAGTAAGAAGGTGTTGTTTTGAATGTCATACCCTCTAAGGTGGCATTTTGAACCTTAGCCAGAGGGCTAAGTCACCTCAGCACAACAAAACCAACATGGGAGACCATCAGTCAGGAAGGAAGCAAACTGAGGCAGACTGGTGAGTGGAGCGGACAGAACCTACTTACACCAACTATTAAGACTGTCTTAGAAAAGTCTCAAGGCCTGATTCTGGGCTCTGCTGTGGCCCCCTTTTGAATGGCTTAGTCATTATAATAGGGCTTCACAGCCAGCTTAACTGTCTCTCAGAGACTACCCCAAGTGCAGAGGTAGTGCAGGGCCAGTGTAGGTGACCCTATGCTTCACCCCCCACCATGAACTCTTTAGCTTAGGAGCATGCCTGGGGTGAGTCGGGGTGGGGGGAAGAGAGGGAATGCTATGCTGCAGTTAAGTTTGCACTGTGGATCAGCCGCCATAAGTCAGAGTAGCCCTCTGGAGAGGGCTGGCCTCCCAAAAA